ATGCTCGGCTACATGTTTGTTTTTTTAGCAAAAACTCCTAAATATCCTGGCTCCTCCCTTACCTCTTTGGAACAGTTCCTCAGAGCTATCTGAGAGGCTGATTCCCAGGCTATAGTGCTAAGTAAGGTCTTCAAATAAAGCTTTTAGGTTATGCGTTTTCAGTCAACACCATAAACTCTGAGAAACTAACTTGCTCAATGCACACAGCTGTGAAGTAGCAGAGCCAGTATTTAAAAGCAGCTCCATCAAGTCCTTATCCGCCCCCGAGGGGTCCTCAAGCTTGAGCTTGGTAATCGGGCTCATCTGCAAGGACTTGTTGACCACAGATCGCTGGTCTCCAATCCCAGAGCTTTTGATTCGGTAGGGCTAGGGTGGGTTTTGAGAACACGCATGTCTAACAAGTTCCCGAGTGATGTTGATGCTTCAGGTTCCACTTGGAGACCGTCTTCTCTCCGTCTTACTCACAGTTTACACCTTTAAAATCCATATGAACAGGCCAATGAGCAGTACTGAAATAAAATCCATCATTCAAAAACTCCCAACAAACAAAGTCCAGGACCGTTTTAACATTTGGAATTCTGTTCTCTCAAGACTGTTTAGAGAGAAAAAGTGCTGACTCCTCGACTCTCCCCATTCTTTGCTGTTCCCCCCAAAAAGCACAGAAATTTTTGATTTTAAGGATTATATTACTATTTACTGTTAGAAACAGAAGAGAGATAAAACATCCTTAAATTTAGGAAAGTTACAGTGTCCTGGACTCTGGAGCCTGTCTCCATTTTGAGACAGTAACTACAAACCCTGTTGGACACCTGTCTGTTTTTATTTCTGAGCATGTGGTTCACAAACTTCTATCTTCTTTCTAACTCCCAAAAGTAAAGGGCAGCTTTCCTCCTTCCTACACGAAAGCTTACTTTCCCGGTAAACAGAGGGCAGAGAGGCAATTAAAGCAAACCAATGGGTAATCTTTGCCTTAGCAAGCAATTTACATTTTGAGGATCCTTGTCAGATACACACTTTGGAGAGGAGGGACTGAGAGCTCCTTGGACAAGGCGAGCTTGTGGGGGGATTACATCACCATCCCCCAGCCTACTGTGCCTTGTTCTCTCCCAGGTCCTGGGGGATGGTGATTTCAAGGCCTGGGAAACACCCCTGGTACAAGGATGGAGAGTCCCTGGCCCGGAGATTAGAACCACATTCCAGGCATCCCAAGTTAGAATGCTTAAAGAAAACATATTTTAAAGACAATGTCACTCCGTATTTCTATAGTGCACACAATTAGGTATTTCAGGTGCAATCTGATTAGCTGATCTGTTCTAGGAACCCTGAAATCTCACCTAGACTGGTTTCTATGGAAATGCAGGATGCAAGCTCCAAACAGGAGACTTGCAAACATTTGGAGCACAGTGTCTTTGCAAGACATTGACACTATTTCTAAAACAGCCAGACAGAGCATTCCAAGTGGAAACCAGTTATCAGTTCCTAAACGGTGCCCCGTGCAATGCGAGCAGGGCTGCCTTTTCAACGGAAGCATGAGTCCCTTTTAGAAGAATGTAATAGAACTGTCTCACAAGCAAAAGAGCAGGCTGGGAAAGCAAGTTCATCTGAGACAGCCTCTGTTGCTATTTTGGTGTTTGTTTTAGTCAGCTCAAAGTCCATACCAGTGATGCCTCTGACCACATTCTTATTTCAAACATTTTGGCCCCTGTAGATTCTATTTCAAATTGTGAAAGCTAGAAACCTGTTAGCATTGCAGTTCCCAGAATTTGGGTAGCCCTAGCTCTAGCTAATTCCAAACACTGATGGGCTTTTTTCCCCAACTAGTTTTTAAAAATATTTCTTGAGAGATTCAATTTCTCCCTGTTTGAAGTATGAGGTTGAATTCTTTTTAAAATCTCATAAGGATCACATAGGATCCTTAGTAGGATCATTCTTCTCACTACTTCCTGATATAAGATAGCTGTCAAAAATGTAGTGCAGAGATTAAAAATTATTGCCTAATTAAGTGTGTGCATAGAAGAAAAGATCCACTGGATCTTATACTGATTTATTAATGGAGGTTACCTTGAGCAAAGGGGGAGGTGAAATTTTCTATTTGTATCTCTTCTACTTTCTACCTTAATAAGTAAAATGATGACCAAAGCAACATTTTTACATATCTATAATGTTTGAATCATTTTTAACAAAGGACTTGTTACTTTTATGAAAAGGGGAAAAAAAAGGAAAGAAAACAATAAAAATACTTTAAAATATAACACCTTATTATTTAAAAGATAGATTTTTCTGTCTAAGTAGAAATATTATGTAGTTTCCAGAGTTACTCACCAGGCTCTCCAGCAGGATATCCAGGGACAACACTCTTGGAAAGCAAGGAAGCAAGAGTGAGAAGCATGTGTCAGAAGGAGAGACTCCAGGCTGGCTGAGAGCCCTGCATGGTATTTGCATCCCCTGGTGGACTACCAGAGCCTCTTGAATGCTTCCCAGTATCTGCTCTGGATTCCCAAAGTTATGGCAATTTTGAAGTGCACAACAATCAATATCATGTAATATAAATGGTAAGTATGGTAATCATTCCTCTTCAGTGAGCTGAAACTAGATTTCCAAAGCTTGAGTCTCATTACTCACGTCCAGCATTTCATTCCTTATCTCTTAGAATTGAAGTCTGTAACTCCCAGGTTGAATAATATAAGTCTATCTTCATCACAGTAAATGAAATTTGCCATTACAGGTTCCTTCCTTTCATTTTTTCTTTATTAGAGGATCTTTTTAATTTTTTCTACATTATCAGTTGAGTTGTTATTGTTAGTGATAGACCAGAAATCTTTTTGAAAGGTGTTATATTTCATCAACCACTAGATATTTTCTTTAAAAAAAGTGATGCACATAATTTCTTTTAACTATGTTCCTCAACTTTCTTGTGAGGATCTAATACGATCACATTTGTTCAAGTATTTTGTAAATTGTCAAGTATTCTGGCAACATAAAGCATGATTATTTTTAGTCCTGTGTGTGTATCCCAGTCGTAGAAAACCCTTTAACACTGCCAAAAGTGAAATATCTTTCCACTTATGCCAGTATTATCACTTTGCCAGTATTTCGTATACAGCCCCACGTTTCACTCACGTTTACTGAGATCCATGATATCAACCACTAGTGTCATTAGTGCTTATTATGTGTATCATGTTTATTTTTATTAATTATCCCCTCTTATTCTGATGTATTAAAGATCATAAACTACAAAATGACTAAAAAGACAGGTTCTATCACATGTATGATAGAAGAGTGACTATATGAACTAGAACAAGAAAACTTTCTTGACTAAATACTATGTTTAGATAGATTTTAGTTTCATTCATTCAGCAAGTATTAACTGAGCACCTGTTATGGTCTTGGCCCTGGCTTTACTGTGGTGAAGTCAAGACGCACAGCTCTTGGTTTTTTGGAGCATATAGTTCCATGGCCCTCAATTTTCTAAGTAAGAATTTCATCAAGGCATTTTTTTGTTTCAACTTTTGTGGCTGATATTCTTTCTACCTATATTTCTTCTACTTTCTGCCTTAAAAAGTAAAATATGGACAGAAGCAACATTTTTATTTCTTGTTTTTGAAATCTACACTGCTCAAGGTCACCCCTCTGAATATTAACTATTATTGCACATGTGGATATAGAGAGCCTAGGAGATGGGTCAGCACTTGTACTGCATCTGGACTGTGGGATCTTGGAATTCAGAGCGGGGCATGTGAGTAAGTGGCTAGTTCCCAGAAGTAGGATCAGCAACTGAGACCCCAACAAATGACTCAGAAGCAAGTGGGCTTATTCTGGGGGACAAAGCACATGCCTAAGGGGTCACTGCAAGAGAGGTCTTCACTTCGGGTGGTCCAGTTGTGAGATGAAGTGGGAGGATTTCTCAATCATGAACATGACATCATGAGATCCAGGGCAGGGGAGAGAGTTCAGAACTTCAGGCAGGAAGGCTGGCATTACCAAGAGATTTGTTCACGGATAATAGGTCCTGACCTTGGGCAGAACTGAAGACCCAGAGATGGTAACTGGTCACTGCAAGGCACAAACCCAGTTAAAATAGCAAGGGTACCAAAAAAGAGACCATGGTCAGGAGCCCAGTTATCAGATCCGGAGCACTGAGAGTCAGCAGGACTCTGTGCTGAGTCAGCAAGATGAGGTGAGAGGCCCAAGGTCCGTAAATAGAGCCTGATCAGGTCTTCAGCCCTACGGGCATGGAGGGCTGGAGGAGAGGGAGGGAAGCAGACAGGACCCCTGCTTTATTTGTGCGACTTGTTCATTTGCACGAGGGCCTCCAACTGGGGGGACAGGTGGGACTGGAATCCAGCCTGCAGTCCGCTCACCAGGACTTGTGCCCTAGTGCAGAGCTGCAAATGCCCCCAGGAAGGGGCACTTTTTCTCATTCACAAAAAGGTATCACATGGGTCAGTACTAGCTTTGGAAACATATTTGGAAACTTGATTTTCAGAAGCTAGAAGCCAATTTAAAATATCCCAGCCGATGGGAGTATATCTCTTACCTTAAGTGTATTCAGGCAGAAAATAAATCTTGAGAAAGATTTCAAAGTATCCAGGACTAGAGTCTCATAAACAATTGTATGGCTAAAGAAGTGCTAAAACGCATACAGATTCAAAGTGCCTTTGAAATTCAGAGAATAAGTCAGAAAAATGTTACTTCCAAAGAGTGCTAGCATGCTCAAACTACTTGACTTTACACAATTTGAAAAAATATACACGTGGTCTTCGGACAACTTTTTATAATTTTGACTCACCAACTATTTTGCTCTGTGTTTAAAAGAAGTGTCTATGGTTACTTCTCACTGGGCCATACAGTTTCACCTTAGTGACATATCTTACTGAGATTTGATGCTTTTGATTTACTTTTTCATATAAAAATAATAACCTCTTAGAATGGTATGATATAGCATGATAAAATATTTCACTATATAGTAAATTACATGCAATTTAAAAGAGAGTGTTTTATTTAGGTCAGCTGCACAGGGCCCAATGCCCTTTTAGAAACATTCAGAGCATTTGATGGATTCATTGCTGAGTGAACTATAAATAAATACAACCTCAAATTCCAGACAATGAAAATGTGCTAGGGGATGCCTCAAAGCTGCCACCATTAATGACTCCTCTTTCAAGGTGAGAGAAAGAGCCTGGACAGGTTGTCTGGAAGCCAGGGTCAAGTTCCCAGCCCTGCCAGGCGTGGGGAATGATTGTCTCCGCATCTCTTGATAGGGGCTTCACTGTCCTCCTCCGTAAAATGAGTGGAGTGAATAGATCAGCACTCTTCAAAATGTGTTTCATGGCATGTCAGTTCCAGAGCTGTTAGGTGCTACCTGGAAAAAAAGGCAGGGGGTGGTGGTGGTGTGTTCAAAGAAGTTTGGCAAACGAGATATAACAGGTTGCTTTGCTGTAGGGCTTCCCAGAGTCTTCAAGAGGAGGACACAGTAAGCAATGATTCTGCAGGGAATCTGAGCATGGAACCCTTTGTTTAGGAGCATAGTGTATACTTTATAGTTTGAGAAATTCTGAACCAGCTGCTCACTAGGAGTGTTTCTACCATCCGTCCCCTCCCCCCCCAACTCTATGATGCTAGCTAAGTTTGGAGAAATGAGGCTATTTCATTTAGGGGGCAGAGAGCAATGCCTACCCTTCTTACAGCTCAAGGTCAGATCTAAAATTTAATGTCTCCACCCAGCAGTTAGTCTGAACCCAAAGGGTGGCTGGATTAGTGAAGACCAGATTTCACTCAAGGGTCTAAGTTCTAATTCTACTTGAGCCAAAAATAACATCTCACTTTCCCAAGTCAAATTTAGAGCTACCCTTCCCATTCTAAGAGAGAAGAAAAAGGGCTATTTATTGGGGGATAAAGGGGGGAAGCCAAAAGGGTCATGAATAATCTACTCATTCCAATCAATTAGGAAGAAAAATGCAGTCACCAAAGCACATTCTGAATTGGTAGAGTTGAGAAACCAAAATAGACTGACTTATGGTAGATTTAGATTTACTATTTCAAGCCCTGCTATGTATTTATCCTTATTTGGTTGCTTTTAACAGAGTTGCATGACTATGGAAATAGGAGTGACCTTAAGAGGTCACGTAGCAGATCATCTTGTATCCAGGAAGGATTTCACTCAGATTCTCCTAATTACAGATTCAGCAGCAGGTCCATCTTGACTCCTGATTGTAAGGTAACCAGTTAGCTTAGGCACATTCTTCTACATTATACATAATTTCTCTTAAAGGAATGCCGTGTGCCGTGGTTATGAGTGTAGCACATACTGGAGAAACCCAGTGGTGTGCTGTATGCCGATCACAGCCTCAGCTTCTGGGGAAAATGGCCAAAGGAGTTCCACTCGCAGAGGCTTCATGTCACATGATCACGTGACCCAGTTGCCCTGGCCAAAGCACATCGGACCAGGATCACCACCAGACCCAAAGGCTGTTATCTGTAGGTCAGCAACTCTGCCAAACAGGAGCCCCATTTACGGGGGTGGTGACTGGGGTGGAGGGAAATCTTAACCATGTCATCGAAGAAGAAATAGATCAGAGAAAGTGTTAAAGGAGGAAGTAGAATCTCCCAGAGACACAGGGAGAAGCTAGACTAGGTAGATTTCGTCACGATAAATAAGAGCCTCTGAAATGTCCCCCAGATGGAATTAGGAACCTTGAATTATACTGTCTCCTATCCCTAGGACTTTCTGAACAGAAGCCGGATTAATATCTGATGGAGACGAGCTAGAAGAAATTCCTGCCCTTGTGACAGGTTAGAACTTGCAGGAAGGCTTATGTCACAGGACATGGGCCATCTCTGAAACTTGGTTTTGTCGGCAGAGCAAGAACCGATTGATCCCTCAGGGAAGAATCACGTTAATCAGGCTCATGAGTCTGAATGCCAGTTTAATACTACGTAATGAGAAATATGGTAAGAACCATGACAGGAAGCCAGGTAACAGCCAGGAGGTGAAGTGTGACACCCCCCTTCTGCAGGCTCCGGCAGATCAAGGACACAAATAACAAGTAAGGAAAACTTCTAGAATGAATTGAGGGTTCACTAGGGTGGCTGGCTGTAAAATCAATCTTATAAAAATCTTTAGCTTTCCTGTATATTAGCTATAACTGATTAAAGTACAAAACAGAGAAAAAAGATCCTACTGTGTGTTGGTCACAAAACTTTACTGACGTATGAGAGAAGACTTGAATATACCACGTCTCTGGTTCAGAAAACTTACCTGTACAAGTTGTCGATTCTTCTCAGTTTATAAATTTAATGTATTTCCTGTTGAAATCCAAATAGGATCATTTAAAAAACTTGACAAGATGATTCAAAATTCATCTGAATAATAAACATTCAAGAAAGGTCAAGAAATTTTTGAAAAAGCAGTACCATGAAGGGGGACTTGCCCTGAAATGATAAAATGCATGGTAAATTACATTAATTAAAGTACTAACCATAACAGGAATAGCTAACTAGATCCGTGGAGCAGAATAGAAGTGTATCTAATAGCTTAGTAAACAATTAAGATATTTCAAATCAGTGGAGAAAGTCCAAAAATGGTTTTGGGACAATTGGCTGGTTATCTGGAAAAAAAGTTTAATTTCTATCTCATGTTACAATGAAACCATCAAAGTAATGAAAGAAAACATAGATGACTATCTACTGGAATACATCCTTGAGCTGGAGAAGAACTTTCTAAGCATGAAACCAAAGAAATAGATATAGACCAATTTGACTATATACAACTTAAAACTGCTCTACAGTTAGATGGTGCAAATTTCTCACTTAACCCCATCTCCCCTTCACCCTTGCCTGCCCCTCACTTGCTGTTGGGAGTAGCCATGTGACCAGTTCTGTCCAATGGGCATAAGTAAGAGTCAGCTGGTATTGTCTCTTCCTCCTCTGCCTAGAACAGAGACCTGATGGCTAGTGCTACAGCAGCCATTTAGTGACCTTAAGATGACACGCAGGAGGAGGCCAAGAGAGGGCAGAGATGTGAGCCCTCACATTGTCAACTCTTTGAACCAGTTCCAACAACTTCCTCTCTATGAGGTGCTTGTTATGTGAAATAATAAGTCCTCTTTGTTTAAGCCAGTGGAGTTGGTTTCTCTGCTACTTAAAATTCATTCCTAATAGAGTCTGAGCTTAAGGCAAAATACCATATTTCAATAAAAGGCAAATAACAAACTGGGAAAAATATTTGCAAAATATGTCATAAAAGTTAATATCCCTACTGATGTAAAGAGCTCTATAATAAATAAGAGAGAGATGAATGAAAAATGGAAAAGAATATGAATAGGAACATTAAAAAGTTCAAATGTCTAATAAGTTCGTGAAAAAATTTCAGCTTCACTAGTACTCAGAAAAATTTAAGTTAAAATAATAACCTAATGATTTAGCACCTATAAAATTGTCAAACACTGGAACCATTATGATATTTTCTGGAAAGCAATCTGGCAAAATAATTCAAATGTCTTGGAATGTCCATGCTCTTTGGGAATCTGTGCAGACAAATGGTTAAAGAGGTCCAAAGGTTTGCTACAAGGATGTCTCCTGCGGTTCTGTTGGTAATTGCAAAATGATGCAAATGGCAGAGATGTGCAATAATACAGCTCTGGTTAAGTAAATTTATAGGATTGCCCACCTTAAACAATGTATCCATTAACCTGCTGTAGTAGAGGCATATTTGTTGACACACAAAGATGTTCCTTATTCATCATTAAGTGAAGAGTAAGTTGCAAAGCACTTTAGTAAGGATGAAAGATTTCTATTTTTGTCAATACGTATGTTTGTGTATTTACGTGTGTGAAAAACAGCCTGGAAGAAAACGTATCGAGACGTTGACATTATCTCTGGGCCTGGCCCACATTTTCTGATTATTTCTGTAATAAGCATGTATTGCTTTTGAAATAAGAAAATCGTTACTGTAAGAATATTCCTTGGTGAACAGAGTAGAAACACAGGGAATTAGGGTTGATCATTTAATAGTATCCGGCCAAGATAAGCTGAGGTGTTTGTCTCATTATAAGGCTACCAGAACATTCTGAGTTACTCAAGCTTGTTCCTCTGCAAGATAATTCGTTCAACACAGCCGATGTCTGTTTCTGTGATTCTCCTTCGGCTGGCCTGTTCTGACAGACATATGTTTGCTTTAGATCGTTTAATGTTTTCAGGCCAGCTAAAGTCAACCCTTACAGTTCTAAGGGTCCTTCTGCTTTTAAGGTAACTGCATTTCTTTGTTCTGATCCAGTCCAAGTGATTTAAAGTTGAACTTTCTGAAAGTAATCTGATTTCCAAGCTTCTAGGGGGAGATGAGGGTATGCCTCATTGTCGTGCCTAAATATTGGCTGAGGGGAAGGTGCTGGATTCCTATAGAAAGATAATTAGGACTCTGCCTTACAGTGGGAAAGCAGATGAGGGATCACAAAATGATCTTTTGATAACTCGAGCCTGTGAACTCCTGTGCTGACTTCTAATTTCCCATTTAGCATATTTCTTAATACCTCAAGCCATGAGCAAAGACTGTATTTCCCAATCTCATTTCCAAGCAATACTAAAAATGACTATTTCCCTTAAGGCAATTATAATCATGACCTTGCATGTGCCAGTTGGAAATTCTCCAGAATTTCTTTTTTAATGATGGAAAATATGTTATTAAACTAACAGCATGACTGATAGGGAAGGAGGTTGCATGGGAAAATATTGAAATTTATTATAATTACATCTATCAACCAGGGTCCCAGAAGGACATAGAAAACCTCTCAGGTGGTTCAACAGAAGATTCCTTAATGAAGGGACTCTACAGAGGAGTGGGCAGGGTTAAGAGAGGTCAAGGCACCAGAAATGAAAACAGTGGGAAGCTGTTATAGACCCTGGCCTGAAGGGAAACGGGGGGCCCAGCAAGATCTGGACTCAGGCAGGAGGTCCTCACCCTGGCAGAAGGAGTGTCATGGAGAGATGTTGCCACTTGCTGAGCCAGGCACCAAAGCATGAAGGGAACAGGGAAAAACTGCTCTGCTTCCTGCAGCCAGTGTCCTCCAGTGCCTCCCACTGCCAAATCCTATCAGAAACCAGCCAAAAGGGACCCCTCGAGAGCTCTTCGGAGCATGGAGAAAGGCAGGAAGCATGACGAATGGATCTGAGGGCACAAGTGGAGAATGACCATCTCCCTCCCTGAAGGGATATTTTGTTCTTTTTTTTTTTTTTTTTCAGTACGCAGGCCTCTCACTGTTGTGCCTCTCTCGTTGCGGAGCACAGGCTCCGGACGCGCAGGCTCAGCGGCCATGGCTCACAGGCCCAGCCACTCCGCGGCATGTGGGATCTTCCCGGACTGGGACACGAACCCATATCCCCTGCATAGGCAGGTGGACTCTCAACCACTGTGCCACCAGGCAAGCCCTGTTTTGTTCTTTGAAAGGAGATAACACATCGAGGGCAACTTTGGCAATGCTCAGCTATGCATCCTCAAGTTTTATCTAAGTATGTTTTCAGAAATGTATCATTTTCAAGAGATAATAAAAAAAAATCAAGCCCACTGGAGTCTCAGAGAAATACACTGCTATGAACTGAATGCTTGTGTGCCCCACAGATTCACAGGTTGGAACCCTAACTTCCCAGTGTGATGCTATTTGGAGGGGAGGCCTTTGGGAGGTAATTAGGTTTGGACAAGATCATGAGAACAGGACCCTCCTGATGGGACTACTGTCCTTGTAAGGAGAGTAAGAAACCAAAGCTTGCTCTCTCTCTCCACCATGTGAGGACACAGTGAGAGGGTGGCTGTCTGCAAGCCAGGAAGCGAGCCCGCATCAGAACCCGACCATGCTGGCACCTTGATCTCAGACTTCCAAGTCCCCAGAACTATGAGAAATAAATTACTGTTGTTAAGCCATGGTATTCTATCACAGCAGCCGGAGCTGACTAAGACACATACCTAAAATTAAAAATGCATCTACTGAAGACAGTAGTAGCTATCGTTTATCAAGCACATGTTCGGTGCCAGGCACTGCCACGTGCTTTACCTGAACGAGCGCATTTAATCCCCGCACCATTTGACATAGGAGGAAACTGCTGTGCAAGGAATTCTTCCTGTCTTGCTCCAGATCACATAGCCAGCCAGAGTGGAAGCTTCTATCACTGGAGGGCAGCTTCTGTCACTGGAGTGGAAGCTTCTATCACTGGAGAGCAGACTGCTGGAACTGGTGCAGTGCTGCCAAAAAACAGTGCGCCCCACCGTGCTAATGCCCAGGCTACTGGGGCGGGTGTTGGGGTCCTCAGCCACAGGAGGGCTGTGTGGATCTGAGAGACCACTGAGGCACCCAGTGGTTTGCTTGTTATCATCTGGTTTCTCTCTCTGGGGTGACAGTAGGAACACGGTGGGTCTCGTCCATCCCTGTCTCCATGCTCCCTGGCACACAAGCAAATACATGACTGGCACCTGATAGAACTGATGTTTGTAACTTACATTCTTTTGCCCAGTCACCTCGTGCTCCCTCTCATCATCGGGAAGCCTAGCTAAATGTCTTTAGATCAGTGGTTTGGAGGTGCGGTTGAACACAGAGAAAGGTTGTCACTTCTGGCCTGGATGACTAAGGTTAGTAGCCCACTAGACGGCTCTGCCAGGGCGCTGTGTAGCAGGGCCAGCGTCATTAGCATGACGACAGAGCCAGATGGAGGCATGACACATGCAGAACCAACCGGATGTCATTTAAATGTCTGTAAGAGTTGTGGCCTGGCCATAAGGAAGATCAAAAGAATTCAAATTCCGGCATGCAGTGAGGGGTTAGAGAAGGTTAACTGAAACCTTAATGGGGGTGCTGGTTTCCATCACACCCCATCAGGCAGTAACGTTGAAAGAAGATTTGGAAGATTAGGTCATGCTTCCACTTGAACCCAGGCAGCCAGGGCTTCAAGACTAACACTCTCTGTAAGGCGAGGACTTGAAGTCCCTCGGTGTCTGACTACAAAAGCTCACAGGTCCACCAGGGCTGCAGGTAGGATTGTCTGGGGCAAACGCAGGCTCTGACAAACGCAGGTTCCTCTGGGACACGCTGCCTGGCCAATAAGTGATTCCAACACCTTGAGAAAGACAACCCAGGTTTTGGGGGATGGTGAAATCGTTCCTTCAATGGGTGAGCTATATTTCTAGTCCTAGGAAAGTTTAGAATTAGGCATGGAGCTGTTTAAGTAAATCAAACCATCATATTCATACTTTTGTGTAGTTCAGGAATACATTTGAAATCATTGAGGAACTCTGGGTGTGTTTAGATTTCACTGTTTGTCAT